GTGGTTGGAACATTGCTGACTACTCATAAAGTTTTAAACTTTGATAAACTTTATTGAGTCCAGGTATTAAAAAATCCAGGTTACAAATTACTACTTGTTTTATATATTTAGTTTCTCCTAGTAATGTTTTTCTAATGGGGAAAAAAATAGTTTAAAGAAAGAGCATGCCCAATACACACCTTTATTTTACTTGGAAACAGAATAAAGCTTTCCAACAGTGTCACGAACAATATATTGATTTAATTATTTGCAATAGCTGTGGACTCAACTTGAAGTGACAAATCATACTGGGAAAAGACTAGCATGAAACTGCCCTAAATGTGTCAAGGGAAGCAAGAGTGTGTTAGTGCAATTCTAAAACTAAAAGTGCATTTCTGTAATTGTTGTTTACTGTATGCATGTATCTGTGTTTATACATATATTCATTGGTATTTATATTTGTTTCCCAGGAATTCAGAATAAAGAATCTACAACACAAGAAGGTATCTTTACACAGTGTTCTTTACATCCCATAATATTTTGTTTGTGTGTGTGTGTTTATGCATGGTGTTTTTTTCTGAGGGGTAAGGCCTGGTGGACTTGGTTTCAATAGAACATAGATTCACCAAATATGCAATAATGTGTGTATACATATGCATGTGTTCATACGAACTTGATATACAGTATACTGCAATGTGCTTCCACTGTTTCAGTTCACCTTCCCACCACCTTCCCTGATAACCATCCTAACTAATAATGGTCCAGGTACATAGGACTGTGTGATGGCATAGGCCATAACTAAATGCTTCATGATGTGCACCATATATGAATGTGTGTGGTGGAGCTATTGCACTTTGTGTGTGTGCAAGTGTACATATATGTGTCTTGTCTCAAAGTGTATATGTATATGTACAGGCTAAGCATATATACACACAGATATGTGTGTGTGCATGAGTCTTTATACATATGTGTATATACAGATAGACAGACAGACGACAAACACACATGTATACTTGTTCAATGAAAATATTAACATTTTCAGGTCATACACATTTATTTTTATAATACTTACTTATACAGTACCTGTTTACATTCACACAATCAAATTTAGAATTCTGTAATTTATTTAGATTAGTAATATACATATTCTTCATATATTAGTAGCAAATGGAACATGTTTACTCTAGAAAAAAATAGCCATGTACTGGAAGTTCACACAAGACAAAACAGCTACAGATAGGAGAGTCCACAAGTCATTGAGTGCAGGTTTATTGATTTGGTTTCTGCAGACTGCTGTTCAGAGCCAAACATTTGTGTGTGAGTGTGAGAGAGGGAGAGAGAAAGATTGAGATTGTGAGAGGGAGAGAATTTTGTTTTACTTTTTAGTGTACCCAATATGTTTTTCAATAGTTACCATTTTTCATGATAATACAGTGACTGAAATAAGAGTGTTTTAGATATAGCTAACATGTAGATGACAGTTATTTCTTGTTATGCAAGTGTGTATTTAGATAAAGTAAATTGTTAATTCTGGATTAGTACAAGTGAAATATTTTGATAGAAATACTAGCAATATAGAAGAATAGTTGGTATTTAAGCTTGCTTGCAGCAGTTACTGAATTACTGTCTCCATGAATATAGTCCCTATACAGTGATATGAAAATATTTCTTTCAAATTGTGTACATGAAATATCAAAGCATTTGAAGGGACTTTCTCTTTTGGCTGTTTAAAACCATATAGTGCTTATTGATTATAAATCTGAAAACTGTGACATCTCCAGTGTGAACTTTTGATTTGAATTACAAGAATGAAATATCCTTGATTTTAAAGAAATAGACAAGATATGACAGCTAACTATGTTTACTGTAGAGTGTAGAGCAGAGTTGATATCATGTCAGTCTTAGTCCTATCATATCAGACTAGTAACACAACCAATCCCTTTATGATGTACTTAGATGGGCTCTGTAGTTGGTGCAGTATGTAATAGTATACCAGGGGGCAGCTGTGGTGCTGGATGTGTGCTGGTGCTGGGTGACACTGCAGGTTGTGCAAGTGGGTGCCAGACTATACTGGGTGGTAGTTCCATGATTATGACACTTAGGCTTGGGCTCATTAATGGTGCCAGTAGAGTTGGTTTCACTTTCTTATTCAGTAGAGAATCTGTTATGGACTTATTTTATGGAAGAGAAATAGATTTTGTTGCTATTTTATTGTAACTGAACTGTATTTTTTGTCTAGATTACATTTGAAAGAAAGTTATATATATATATATATATATATATATATATATATATATATATATATATATATATATATATATATATATATATATAATCATTTGGGGAGAAAGACAGGCATTTAGCTGACAAACAACAGAAATAGATTGATAGACAAGCTGTGTGTATGTGATTGAGTTGAGTGAGTTAGACAGGAGTGGGGAGGGGGGGAGGGGAAAATTTTTCAAAGAGATGGTGTGTGATGAACCTGACAGCACTCAGGTTGAGGGGATTAATGAGCAGTGCCCAGGCCCTGGTGGGAAGGGTGGGGCAGTGGGGGAATATTTGTGTCATGAGAGGCAAGGAGAAGGGGGATCCCTGTTGCTGCTGCTGTTCAGTAAGAGGTTGGCTTTGGTGACAAGTGTGCCTAAGAGTGATTCAGTGTTGACAGTGCTCCAACAGCATGCAAGGATATACAAGTATGTGCCTGTATTATTTGTATTTAGAGATATACTAGTAGGGTTATACAGCTTTTTAATAGTGTTAATTTGATACTGTGCCTGAATGAGTGGTATAAGTACAACCGACCTGAAGTGTGAGAACCAGTGAACACATCCTGTCTTATCAAAGGAAAGTTGATGGATATTTATTTGACTTTTCCCCCCTGTAAAGATGGGTTCATTAAAATTATACAATTAGTCAAATTACTCTTTGTTAATATCTTTTTCTTTTTTATATCATTTCTGAATGGTGTCAGTCGTGGATAATGTTCTTTTTATCTTTCTCATAAAATACAGTAATCACTTCTAATGATTCCTTAAGTGGATAAGAGTGGATATTTGATATTCAATAGTAAACAAAGTTCAGCTTTCATACAGATGGAGCAGTATACCTTTTTCTTTCTTTTCTTTTTTTTTAATCATGTGAAAGTCTGATGCACTGAAGTACCTCCTGTCTACGCTATCAGAATGTCCTTTGCGATTTCATGTTATTAAAATACTTTATTTTGTTTTAGTGTCGAGGATGCGTGAATACAAGATTGTGGTGTTGGGGTCAGGAGGTGTTGGAAAATCTGCACTTACAGTTCAGTTTGTGCAGGGCATCTTTGTCGAGAAATATGATCCCACGATAGAAGACTCATATCGTAAGCAAGTGGAAGTGGATGGCCAGCAGTGTATGCTTGAAATCCTTGATACTGCTGGAACCGTAAGTATATACATTAATTACCTTCAGATAAGAAATAGCTATAATAAGTGAATGAATTAGAATTAATATTTTTCTTAGGTTTTCTAGTTATTGGTATGATACAAGTAGCTTTTTAGTTCTCTGATAAATATAGATTTTGGTTGCTTCATCCTTTTCTGTGTTTTTCCAAAAGTATTTTAATGTTAACCCAAAGCTGCCAGGAAAATGCTGTGCTTATTTAATTTTTTTGTGAAGTGTCTCTGCACATAGATGGCTCTGCTAGTGCTTAGCCCCATAGGAGCCAATTAGTAGACCTTGTAACCTTACCTAATTTTACCTTTCCTTGATTTTTTTTTTTTTTTTTTTTTTTTTTTTTTTTTTTTTTTTTTTCTTTTTTTTAATAATGATAATTATAATAATAATAATAATAGTAATGATGATAATGCTGTGAATATCAATGGTGTTATTTTTGTTATAGACATTATAATTACTATAATGTTAAAAACATTAGTAACAGCAAAATGATTATCAATTAATCAAGGAAAAGGGTAAACAGGTGAGACAGGTAGTACTTGTAATTAGCTCATAGGTGGTTTAGTACAAGTGTAGCCATCTATGTGTAAAATCAATCAATAAAGTAAACTCACAGTAGGCATAGCATGTATGCCTGTTGGCAATGGGTTAACTTTCTTCAAGCCTTTTTGGTTTAATGTATTAACTCAAAGCATGCATAGCTATTGTTTCACATTGAGTAGATGAGTGAGTGAGTGAACGAATGAATGAACGTATGTGTGTGAGTGAGTGAGTGAGTGAGCGAATGAATGAATGAACGTGTGTGTCAGTGAGTGGGTGAGTGGGTAAACGAACAAATGTGTGTGAGTGAGTGAGCGAACGAATTAACGTGTGTGTAAGTGAGCAAACGAACGAACGAACGTGTGTGTGAATAAGTGAGTGTGTGAGCAAACGAACGAACGAATGTGTGTGTGAGCAAACGAACGAACGAATGTGTGTGTGAGCAAACGAACGAACGAATGTGTGTGTGAGCAAACGAACGAACGAATGTGTGTGTGAGCAAACGAACGAACGAATGTGTGTGTGAGCAAACGAACGAATGAACAAATGTTTGTGTGAATGAGTGAGTGTGTGAGCAAACGAACGAACGAATGTGTATGTGAATAAGTGAGTGTGTGAGCAAACGAACGAACGAATGTGTATGTGAATGAGTGAGTGTGTGAGCGAACGAACGAACGTGTGTGTGAATGAGTGAGTGTGTGAGCGAACGAACGAACGTGTGTGTGAATGAGTGAGTGTGTGAGCAAACGAACGAACGAACAAATGTTTGTGAATGAGTGAGTGTGTGAGCAAACGAACGAATGTGTATGTGAATAAGTGAGTGTGTGAGCAAACGAACGAACGAACAAATGTTTGTGAATGAGTGAGTGTGTGAGCAAACGAACGAATGTGTATGTGAATAAGTGAGTGTGTGAGCAAACGAACAAACGGACGAACGAACGTGTGTGTGAATGAGTGAGTGTGTGAGCAAACGAACGAACGAACATGTATATGAATGAGTGAGTGTGTGAGCAAACGAACGAACGAACATGTATATGAATGAGTGAGTGTGTGAGTAAACAAACAAACGAACATGTGTGAATGAGTGAGTGAGTGAGCGAATGAATGAACATGTGAATGAGTGGGTGAGTGGGCAAACGAACAAACGTGTGTGAGTGAGTGAGCGAACGAATGAACGTGTGTGTGAGTGAGTGGGTGAGTGAGCAAACAAACGAATGAACGTGTGTGTGAGTGCATGCGAGTGTGTGTACTTGTCTGCCCAGTTGTGTGAAGGCTTGGGTGTTAGGAGTGTAGATATAGGTGTGATGAGTTTGAGTACATATGGCTGGGTACATTTGTACATTGTATAGGTTATATGAATGTTTTTAGAATATTATTGTGGGACTCATGATTTCTTAAATTTCAGGAACAATTTACAGCAATGCGTGACCTTTATATGAAGAATGGACAGGGCTTTGTTTTGGTGTACAGTATCACCGCACAAAGTACATTCAATGATTTACAAGATCTCCGTGAACAGATTCTCAGAGTCAAGGTAAATAATACACAAATTTCTTTTGATTTAAAAGATTGTTTATACCTGCAATGGACTTTCAGAATAAAACAGTGATTGTTTATATAATCAAAAGTCTATAAGCTGTTGATTGTAGTCACAGATTAGGTTTGGGAGCTTTTTGAGTATGAACCAAAACTCTGATCAGACTATGGTTTATCCCTGGAACAATGAAGTAATCATTGCAGATGTAATTATGAAACTTTGAATGCTACACAGCAATGATGGCTTGTGCATTTCATTATATTTCCATCAGATTTTCAGTTTCATGAAGTTATCCATGCTTTTTCTTCTCATAGGACACGGATGACGTCCCAATGATCCTAGTGGGTAACAAGTGTGACTTGGAGGATGAGCGTGTTGTTGGGAAAGACCAAGGCCTCAACCTGGCCAAGTCCTTCTCTTGCGCCTTCCTAGAATCATCTGCAAAAGCTAAGATCAATGTCAATGAGATCTTCTATGACTTAGTCCGGCAGATTAACCGCAAATCCCCCGACAGAAAGTTAAACGGAAAGAGTGGTAATAAGAAGAAGTGTTGCCTTTTATAAGGTTGGATATTTACTCATTATAAGACTAGGTAAAGAATGGCTGGATGTTATGCCTTCATCCTCTCAGGTGTAACTTGTGATTTTGTGTTCTGTTGCCAAGACATGCTGTAACGTAATCATTCCTAGGAATATTATTGAAGAGCTAATGTGTATAAGTGTTTAGAAGTGAAAAGCAGTGTGTGTGAGTGTGAGTGCATGTATGTGTGTGTGTAAGTGATTAAAGCATAATTTCTTATCTCTACTTTAAATACAAGTCTGGAAGTGTAATCAGTGTGAGAAGGCAAAAATCTTGCATACCTTGGTAATAGAAACAAAATTCACAGTAAAGAAAAAAAAAGGCTGGTGCCCCACGCAAACTTGTTACTATGTTACACACCATGGAATGGACGTGTGGCCAGGTGGTGTAATGAAGTAAACAATTCACATTATTATCATTATTATAATTATTATTCTACACATAATTTTAAATGAACCTTTTTTTTTTTCTCCTTACCAGTATATTATTATTATTATCATTATTATTAATTATATATTTTTATTACTGTTGTGATTGTTATGATTATTATTGAATATCCACTTTTATTTTCGTTATTTTCTGTTTTACAAGTCTTACACATTGGCTATTACTAACTGATGATATAAAGATAGTTTCTTTATTGTTGTATAGCATATTATTTTTCATTGTTTTGATTATTTTACTTTTGCAATTTTCTCGTTTTTAGCTTGATGGAAAGTGTGCTCCATCCAGCTACTGATCTGTTAATTTTGGGCACATTTTTTATAGTTCCAAGATCAATCTATATTTGGATGGTTATATGATACACTGGTTTTAGACCTTGTTGATCTGCAAATGAATAAAGTAGGCATAACTGCTGTGCACTATTATTATTATTTTTTATATAATTGTCTCTCATGATATTAAAATTTATTGACTATCAGTGAATTTCCAAAGTTACCCTAGTCGAAGTGTTATTTTGTTAAGCACAAAGTTGTGGAAATAATTATATATATATATAAACATTGGGAGAACAATTTCTTTGTATGTGAGAGACAGATTCCACTATCCATCCTCATTGTAACAATTCATACCATATGTAAGATATAATGCATTATGAGTACATTTTAAAGTTTGTACTAGGCCTCCAAATGTTGAGTAAATTCTAGGTTGATCATTTTGACTTGAATACATGGGGGATATTTTGTACCTTTAGTAGCTTGTAGTTTGTTAACCCCATGTACAGGTTACTACGCACAAGTTGCTTATTAAGGGACCCAAGAGGCTTGTGTCAGGTAGGGAGGGGACAGTTTTGTCTCTTTATTGGTTGCAACATGATAACTAGCCGAAGATTTAAAGTACTTGGAATTTTTGAAACCCATTTGGTTGCACACTTCTTGTGCACTTGTGATGTAATAAGCCTTCTTGAAGTGGAATAATGCACCACCGTTTCGTGGTCATATAATAGAAAAAGGCATGTAGAAGAATATGCTATGGAGATGTTCCCTCTCAGTCTTCTGTAAATCTTTAAATGTTAAATTCTGGTAAAGCCTACAGTTTGATGTGGTGTTAGTGTGCTAATTGTCAACCTGATTTCTGCCCTGCTGTCAACTAATAGCTTATAAAATAAAAAGGGATTTGGATATTTTATGCCCAGACCAAACGGCATACTTGTACATAACTTTACTCTGTATATTATGTCATGCTATAAACAGTTATATAAACCAGACCTAGCATAACCCAAAAGTGAGACATAGGATGTGTAGAGCCACTACAAGACAGCAGCAGCTCTTGTAAGGATGAGTGGTACTGATGATTTATAACCTCCATCCCAGAACCCCCATCTCTCACTGCCAGTCACCACCTACCACCTCCATCACAGCAAACTGTTCTTCAGAAAGTGGTGAATGTTGCCATACAGTGCAACACTTCATAATATTGCAATTTACCAATGAATATTCAGTATATCATTCATTATTGTTTTCTACTGATTTTCATGCCACTCTTTACCATGTAAGGATATAGACTTCATCTGAAAATAGCCCTAGGGATGCAAAATCCAATATCTAGTTAAGTTCTCAAAAGAGATGTGATATATATGTATGCATTTTGAGTCCTGTCAACTCTAGGGTCATTTTAAGATTAAATTTGCTAGTAATCCATCAGAATATTAGCGGCTTTATACAATATTGGAAAAGCTTTACTGTTTGGTTTCAATCTGATAAAAGTGAAATATATCGTGTACATTGTTTAAATGGTTTGATTATTTCCTTTGTGTGTACCCACACCCATGAAATTAACTTGACATCATAAATGTCAACATTTAAAATGTTTGAGCCATGATTTTGAGGAAAAAAAATCTCTGAAAATTACAAGCAAAGTCAGTTAAGTTTCAAATAAGCTCATAATGTTCAAGTAAATTCATGTTCTCATTTTGCTCAGCATGTTGAGGCACCACAAATTTTCTGTATTATTGCCATCTGATTTTGTGGCTTGGCCTTAGAAATTGATACAATTTTGGACAAGCTACACTTATAAATCATAGAGTTGTTTAGACTCATTACATATTGTGTATATAACCACCCTCTCCAATAACAATATCAGGACTCCTGATTACATAACTGATGTATACAGTTTTTATTTGAAGCTGTATGCATCCAAAGATAATTAACTCCTTAGTTTGTATTGTAAACTTGTATAAAGATTTATTTTCTAAATATTTTCATGTCATTCCACATGAAAGCAAACAGTTGATTCTTTTCAACATTTCTATTCAGAGTGCTAAATATAAATTACTAAGCATAATCTACTTCAGTGAAAAACTGGAGGACTGAAGTAATTCTGGCAGTTGTATAAGAAAATTATTGTTTCCAAAGTATTATATTGTGCCTTTCAGGAATAAGAGGCAGCTCTCTTAATAATTGTGTATACATCTTTGTTCTTAAATTCCCTACTTATTGTGTATTGTTGAAACATCAGCAATGGATATTATTTCATACAGACTTGTATTCTGCAATTGTGAGAAAGTTCAGCATTTTAAGCTTCAGGTGTGACATACTACTGGTTAATAAGTATACAGTTATTATGAGAATGATTTCTGCCTTCAAAATCTACAAATTTAAGATTTATGTGTAAAGTTATTAATTACACCAGATAATCTGCAGTTTATTGCATGCCCAATACATATATTAACACTGTTAATTGGAATTACCCATATTCAGCTTCTTTTTGAAATATATTTTCATGTACTCCAGCCTGTAAAGTTTTGTATACCAAAATTATCTTTTAAAATCCTAACCTTTGTGTGCAGCAGATTTTATTTTCCTTGAGAGCTTAGGTCATCAGCTTGAAAACAACAACTTTTCATAGAATGACCTAGTAAATTAATTCAGATAGATTGGTGAACAATTTCAGTAGTTATCTTGGATGCACTTCTCTTTATTCTTCATTGTCTTGGTCTTCCCTTCATTTTCAGTATGCCCAGTCCCCATCTTTTTTCCTTTTCTTTCTTTGCTTCTCTTTCCTTTCTTCCACAGTTTATGAGCAGAGCATCTGGTAACTTATATGTATATTTATCTCTTATCTTTTTTTATGGAGTTTCTCTTTTCGTTTCAAACATATACCATATCACTTCCTCTTTCTTGTGTATGAGTGTTGCCTTGTAGCTTGGCATTAGAACTAGGTCAAGAATGACAGGATTTCTCCTTGTTTTATGTTCTTGTATTATTTTTTCTCCAATGGAAATAAAAAAAAAAATATAGATGCAATTGAGAAGCTTTTTATGGTGGAAACCTTGACTTCCAGAAAACCTGCACTAGTAGCCTCCATACAACCAAAAAGCATCATGCCCCACCCACATAAGTTTTCATATTTCTCATGGGCAAGTAGGTTTTCACTGCTCACTTACTTTTCATTTCTTTACATTTTCAATAGCCTATTATGGTACTTAATGCATAATAGTAAGTTTTTAGAATAATTTTGTGGGAAAGGGGCATTTGGAATTAATATAGTGTAGGTCACTAATTACATACAGACTTTCAGTTAATGTGATATTTAGGTTGACTCATTTATAACATTCATGTTTGTATTTTGTGGTTTGAAATTCAAATAATTTTACAAAAGAAAAAAACATGCACAAAGATCCATAGAAGCAGGTCACATTTACTCGTTATAGCATTTCATGTTGATGCACTTCTATATTTTTATACAGACTTTTGGTTACAATCTATATTTGCGATACTTTGTACAAGTGGAAGAATGTATTTGGAGTACATGTATTACATCTTGATAATTAAATTTTAGTTACACATTTGATTATGCTTCTATAATTGGGAAATTCTATTGTGTTGTGCTAAAAAATATATGTAACTAGGCTTGGTACATTCAATTCATTGATGAATAGATGGAAGTATCCATTCCATGTGGGAAAAAAATAGTTTATTGAAGAATTCTGTTCATAAAAAGGATGAAGTAGGGAAAGATGACCTAAAAGAGCAGGAATGTATTTAAGATTGAGATTAAGAGGTAAATTGGATGAGACCAGAAGGAAAATATGTAGTGAATGTTAGATTTCAGTACTGCTGGAGAATTACGTGCATTATGTTGGTTCTTTATACAAATATGCAAAAGAATGAAAAGGAAATATATTGTGTGTGTGTGTGTGTGTGAGCGTGCGTGTGCATGTGTTTTTCTAAAAAGGAAAAGAAAAAATGGTGTTCGATTTACTAACACTTCAGAACAGAGGATAACCTTTATTTGCAGAAAATAAATGTTAAAAAATTATGTTAAAAAATGGAGAAGAAAGATTGGATATAGAAAAATATTTCTGATTGTTAAAAGGTTTCTAAAAATGTGACTATAAATACAACTAAAAATAATAGTGAGTGATAATTTAGCAAAGATAAGGTTAAGAAATATAAAGTCTGTCATCAAAAATAAATAAGTAATATTATTATTTATTGAAAATGTTCTGTTGTGTCAACTTCTAAGGTTATTAGCTGCATAATCAAAATATAATGATAGGTTGGAGATAAAGTTCTGTGGTTCAATAAGGTGATATTTGTGGGTGTCCAAAATGGTCAATGGTCTAAACAAATAATTGTATCAGACATTAAAGGTCATATAGCATTATGATAATGTGGTGAAAAGGGTAAAAATGTCTTGACAGTTAGGCTATGAGGACAGAAGAAGGGGATAAAGAAGAAAAGGAGAAGAAAAGACAATGCAAAATTTGTAGAGCCAAGGGCTGAGGATCAAGGCAGGGGTGTCCCCTTACAATGGGTTTTCAGTCTCTATCTCCTAAGCCCCCACAACAACAACAAGCAAGAAACTGGGGAGGTAACAAACAATATTACCTAGGACTATATGCATGGCTTCCAAAGTAAAGAAATTCTAAAGAGTTGACATTATTTTACTGCAGGTATTAGTGAAGATGCAATATATTTTTAAGGTAAATGAAGATATATGGCTAATCATACTATTTTTGCAGGATTTTTGGCAGTGTATATAAAAGATTTTTCAGTAACAAAATTTGATCTTTTACTGCAAGTTACAGTATGTAGCTCTTGGTCTTTGTATAAAATTTATTATATTATTTAGCCAGGAGTCGTTCAAGTGCTCTGAACCAGCAGTTCTGATTTGAAGATTTAATGGTTAATGGTTACAAAGCAAAACAAGAGGGGGGTTATAGCTGATGATTAATTGTGCTATATGTCTAAAGTCGTATAGCAGTTCAGGATAGTGTGGCATTGAAAGGGTTAAAGAGGGGTGAGGGTGAGCAAATGGGCTAAGGTAAGGGAAAGTTGTCAAAGAAAGATGTCCATAGGGTAAGGTAGGTACTATCAAAGGGAGAAAGGGGAGTTTAAAGGTGAATAGATCACAGTTTTAGGCAAAAAGTCAGGAGGGAGAGAATCCAGGGAAGGGGGTTGTGACAAAGAGTTGCATGTGTATCCAAGGGAAAGTGGAAGGGATTACTAGGAAGGGGGATGATGCAGATGAAGCAGGGGGGAATGGGATGTGTTGGGAGGGATTGGAAAGGAGTGAGGGAGAACATGAGTAGGAGGAGGATGGATGTTGGCAGTTACTTTTGAGTGTAAAGAGAATGGGAGCATAGAGATTGGTGGATGGATGAGGTGTAAGCATGTTATCTTGCCTCTTGTATAGATAGTTGAGAATGTCTTTGAGAGTTTCTGAAGTGGAGTTGGTTAGGGAGGTCTGAGAAACAACGGCTTTCTTATGAAGGGGAGAAGAAGGGACAGCTGTTTGAGGATCAGAGTGAGAAGAGCCCTGACTTGAAAAATGTCAAGTTGCAAGTCAAGACCAATTTCCAGAATCATATCAGTGAAGGGGCTCATCTTACAGTCCTTACAAGGAAATGAAACTTGAAGAGTAAAGAGTAAGTTCTGCAACTGGATCCCACTACTTTGACCACAGTGAGTCAACATCTCTTAGCATGGTGAACACCTAGAATTGAAGAGAATTTTGAACTTCCTTCCTACTTTTTGGTGAATAGGAATGCAAAATATATTTCATATATCTTTAATATGTACAGATATTGTATCACATTTTGCTCAGTACCGGTATATATCAAGCATGTGTCTCATATAGGGACTGAGTGAACTAAGGTAAATAATTATAATCCATTAGTGTATTCACCACAGCCAAGTGTGAAGTCATGTGCCAAGAGGAAAATTCAACCACAAATGAGTAGGTAAATCACCTGCCAAAGACTGGATATGTCAAAACCTGCATAAACAGGTCAGTAGAAAAATATGACCTCAAAATGTACCATTCTCTCTTATGTATAAAAAAAAAAAATGCAAAGCAATTTATTTAATATCTTGATGCCTGTAGAGTTTTGGTCTATCTATGTCTGTTTCTTTCATGCATGCACAAACATACACTCACACCCACATGCGTACATAGACAATATATGTATTTAAAAAATTAAAGTGAATTCACATTTAAAGTATAGCTATTTGTAGACATAGATTTCTTCTTATTTAAATAGTCCTTTTTTATACTTAATACAGTAAACTGAAAGGGGTTATTAAGACAACTATTTAGGTATCATGTAAGGAGTCAAGAGGGAAATTCTAACTGTATCATACCTTAATATATAAGATAATGGTTAATGGATACAAAGCAAAATAAAAGTGCTAGACATCGAGGGTCATATGTTACTATAGAAAGGCATAGTAATGAAAAAGGTAAAGAGGGGGTTGAGCTAACAGTTAAATGTCCTACAAATCAAAAGTCTTACAGCAGTTTAGTTTATGAGGGGTGAAGAGGGTGAGTAAATGGGTTGAAGTAGGAACTAGCAAAAAGATTATTAAAAGAAATGGAGGATACATATGCATCTGAGGGAGGAAAATTTATCAAAGGAAAAGGCAGGATCCTGCAAGGATGTCTATGGGAAGGGGGAGGATCCAGGGAAGGGTATTGATGTGACAAAAGGGAGTCATATGTGTAGCCATGAGGGAGTGGAATGGAAAACAGGGAAGGAAGGGTAGGTGATAAAGATAAAGCAGGGGGGAATGGGATGTGTTGGAAGGGAGTGGGAGAAAGGGGTGCAGGGGCAGTATGAGAAGGAGGAGGATGGATATCACTTTCAGTATAGAGGGAATGAGAGTAGAGAGACTGGAAGATGGTTGAGGTATTAGCAAGTTATTTTGGGTCATGATTAGACAGTTTTTGAATGTCCTTAATAGTTTCTAAAATTGAGTTGGTTGGGGAGGTTTTTTTTATGAGGGAGAGATGAGGGGATGGGCATTTGGGGTGTAGCACAGCATTGGAGTAGGTCAGGTTGCTTCTTGCCAAGCCAAGTGAGGCTAAGTGTGAATATGAGGACTGCTGTCTCAGACTCAAACTTGTAGGTAGGGGAGCCCCTATAATATACATTATGGGAGCCACCACAATTGGCACATATGCATGATTGCGCAGGGCAGATTGAACGATCATGGCCTAGTAGAACACATAGAGGGCAGTGGGTTGTGGAATTAGGTAATGGTTAAAACAAACAAATATACTAGACATCAAAGTTCATATAGTACTATGGTAAAGTATCGAGACAAAAAGTCTCCACCTCCTAAGCCCCCCCCCCTCAACAACAATGAGCAAGGGATTGGGGAGGGGAGTGGCCTGTGGAGCAACAGTGCTTAGCAGGGTGGCCAAAATGCCATTTCTGACATTGATGGGAGAGGGGTTGATATGGTCAGATAGGACAGGACTCTCCACTAATATGCACTTCATGGGAGATCATGTCTACAGAAGGTAATTTTGGCAATATTGGTTTAGAACTTTTAGGGGGAATAGTGTAACACTGTGCTGATACTGCCTCCTAGTCAATGAGGCAGGCAAACAGGTTGTTTTCACAGTCTGACCAATCCTTGTCATTGAGCAATCAGCTGGGGAGATGGAAAAAGTTTCAGTACAAGTATTAAGGAAGGAATGAGGCTGGGCAGGAATAAGTTTGTCAGTGAGGTAAGTCAGGGTAGATAGTGCATGAGTTTGGGACTCAGATGTAACAAGGCATGACCAATTGGAACTGCTGTGGAAGGAAACTTTGCCTATTAGTTTATGAGGCATTGTTGGAATAGGAGGGTATTGCCAGAATAAGAGGCTGTAAGGGACTGACCCAAAGCTAGCCTTTTATTCTTTGAACATAGCTCTCACGTTCTAAGAAGACTGAAGCAGGGTTGGATAATGGTTAATAGCTACACAGCAAAATATGTGTGCTAGGCATCTGTGGAGAGGTGTAATAGAGAAAAGGGTAAAGAGGGGTAGATGATAATTATGTGCACATGTAAGAAATTATATAGGAGTTCAGGAAGGTAGGGATTAAGAGGGTGAGTAAATGGGTTGAAGTAGGAACTAGCAAAAAGATTATTAAAAGAAATGGAGGATACATATGCATCTGAGGGAGGAAAATTTATCAAAGGAAAAGGCAGGATCCTGCAAGGATGTCTATGGGAAGGGGGAGGATCCAGGGAAGGGTATTGATGTGACAAAAGGGAGTCATATGTGTAGCCATGAGGGAGTGGAATGGAAAACAGGGAAGGAAGGGTAGGTGATAAAGATAAAGCAGGGGGGAATGGGATGTGTTGGAAGGGAGTGGGAGAAAGGGGTGCAGGGGCAGCATGAGAAGGAGGATGGATGTCACTTTCAGTATAGAGGGAATGAGAGTAGAGAGACTGGAAGATGGTTGAGGTATTAGCAAGTTATTTTGGGTCATGATTAGACAGTTTTTGAATGTCCTTAATAGTTTCTAAAATTGAGTTGGTTGGGGAGGTTTTTTTTATGAGGGAGAGATGAGGGGATGGGCATTTGGGGTGTAGGACAAAAAGGCCTATGGTAAGAGAGATACCTAACATTAGGCCTATCTCCATTTCCTAAGCCCCACACAACAACAAAGGGCATGGTATTGGGGAAAATTCATCTTTTGTAATGATCCTTTATAAAAGCTGTATTCATAATGAAATACTAATTGATGTCTTTCCATAACATGGATTCTGTGTAAATTCTTCATGAAACAAACAACAATGAAATGAATGGTTTGGTAAGTGGAAATGAGTCTTCCTGTCTGTAAAGTTTCTGAACAAGAATCACTGAATTAAATAACTGAAAAAAGAAGAAGAAAAAGTATTCTTGTATATGATTAATAAAAATCAGAGAATTGAGAAGAGAACTTATCATGTTGTTTGTGTTATTCTTCTATTTTATTTTATTAATTTTCTGTTTTAAATAGATATAAATTGCATAGTCTATACACAAATGTAAAAATTTCTGTCTGACACACTAATTTGACATTGGTAGCCCTAAAAACAACAACATTAACATGTATTGTATTTATAAAAGTATTAAAGCTGGTGATACAAAAGTTAAAACTGCGTCATTTATACTCAGGGGGGCATGACAGCATTTGCCAGCAATTGCATCACACATTATACAAAGTGAAATTTTCTTTCCAAAGTGATAATGAACATCATAGACAGACATAAATGACTTTCTTGACAAAAGACAAAAGTCACTATTTAGAGTAGTAACTTCAGTACTTGCACATGTAGTTACTGAGATGGCAAGGATTTAATAATAAAATTTGAATTTACTTCATGTCTTCATTGTGTAATTGCCTCTAGATTATTTAAATTGTCTCTAAGTTATGTAACACTAAAATAAATATCCTAAACTTGTTAATTAAGCAATTGATTTTTCTGGCTTACCCTTTGATGGGGGGGGAGGGGATCTAAATATAAGAGAGAGAAAAAAATCAAAAGAGTACATGGAAGAGTGCATGAAAAATAGGTATGAGTTTTTGTGAATGGTGTGAAAGGCTGACAATGCAATGTCAAATATTTTAAGACTTTTGAGGTAAACATGCTTTTTCATCCTATGAAGTATGCTACAATTCTCACTGAATATTGATAAACTCGTTTCTGATTTAAAATTCGGATATTTTCTTAACTAAACCTATATGCTACAAGCTCTCAGGGACTCTGCCTGCATATTTGTTCATATTCCAAAAGTAACCTTAACCCTTAAGCCGGGTAAAAATGAACAAAAAGTGGGGAAAATGCTCAGCTCATTTTTTATATTTTTTAATGAAATTTCTCTACACTAGATGGCTCTGCCTTACCTGATTTCACCTTTCCTTGAATTGGCGGGAAAATGTATTTTTACTAGTGCTATGAATATCGATGGTTATTTTTATTATAAACATTATAATTACTATAATCTCATAAACATTAGTAACAGCAAAATAATTTTGTCAATTAAAGAAAAGGGTAAACGCTTGAGAGAGGCAGTACAAGTACAAGTGTAGCCATCTATGTGTGAAAATTAAACAAGTAAACTAACAGTGAGCCTGTCACGTATACGTGATGCCAGGTGCGAATGGGTTAATGATTCCAATAAATTTCAATAGTTTTCATTATTTCTAAAGGAAAGAATAAAGAGAATATTTCTGCATTATTTATTTCATAAAAATGTCATAGAAAGAATTCAAGGCAATTTCAATTATTTTAGAAAACATCAAATATCATGTACCAACAGAATCCAATCCATCCCAAAATGGTCCAATATTCCATAAGACATTTTGATTGAAGTCCTGATTTCTAAATGAGTTATTTCTTCTAATTTTGTGATTAAAGCCAGATCATTATCAAATTACTTGAAATGAAAATTGCTGGATACAAGAAAACTTCAGGTACCACTGTATATTCAGAAAAAAATTAGTCATAATTCATATATTGCTGTCTAACAATAGTAATCCATATAAATATATTGCTTGCAAACAAGTGAAAATATGCAATTGTTTTTATGAGAAACTGTTAGGCTGACATAAACTGTGACCATGACATTACTTTCTTCTCACTTTTTTGTTTATATAAAATATTGCAATGGTATTCCCAAATGTCACAATAAAAAGCATACTCTTCCACAAAAAATAATATAAATAAAATATAATAATACTCTAAAGCACCAATCTCAGGAGAGCCCTAGATCTGATTACTTTTCATATTCAATCAATATCAAAAAAACACTTTCATCTATTAATTACTCACTGAACTTCTGGGTGGCACTACTGTAACAAGTGTAGTTGGTGTTTTGCTTGTACACCGTACATAATGAATGGTATTTTCACAATTTTTGGCAAAGCAATATCATCCCTTTTATGATCCAACAATAACATATCACTGTTTGTAGATACAAAAATTATCATGCTTAAACCAGTAAGCATTTATGTCCAATGACTTGACAGACTCCAATTTTGTTTTAAGAAATTTCATATTTTAAAATGAATTTTTAGCAAAACTGCATACCACAATTATGACAGTGTTGATAATAAATCATAATCTGCTTTATAAACCAAGACCAACTGTGAAATCCCCTTTCTTGTTCATAAAACACTGAAAATGTATGGTCTAAAAAATATTTTGTCTAGGGTAATGTCAGTCATAATGTAAACCGGAATATAGGATTATCCACATAACCTGAAAAGAGAGAAAGAAAGATGTATTAAATCAGTGAAATCTTAATCAAAAGAAAAGGAAAAATATTTTAAACCAATCAAATAAACAATGTTAACAGTGGAATTCTAATCTCAAGAGACATGTAACTGGAAAATACTAGTATAGAGCAAGAAAAATAACATTATTACTAGAGTTAAATTTTAGGGGACGCCGTGGTACAGTGGTTACACGCACGGCTGGGGACCAGTAGGGTCTCCAAGTGAAGCGGGTTTGAGCCCTGCTACGGTCCGAGGATAGGAAGTCATCCACTCGGGGTAACAGTCTCTACCTGCCAAATAAAAGTCCTTCGAGAGAAGACACCGAGCTAGCCCTTGCGAGCGATGGAGTTTGTGACATAAAACTGACCATGACTAGTAAATTTTTGCATCTAGCTATCTATAAAAATTTAACTGATTCTCAAGTAGGCTTGTTCCCTTAACCCCTTCATTGCCAGTGATGCAAATCTACTTTATTATCTGTTTTATGGGATTGGCATGTTCTGAGGTATTTGAAATATCTTGGCCACCCCAAGAACATGAGAATGGGAATATGTCAAGAACTTTCCTGAATGACTCTTCTTTAGGTTCCATGGTTAATTGTTAATAGTTAATAAAGATAAATATATTCAAACAATCAGATAAAGAACTTCAAAAAGAGTTGGAACATGTATTACAATAATACATAATTGTGGTAAGATTTGACTGTTGACATCCTACATTGCACTTGCCAGCAAGCTTCACAGATAAGTCAGTGCTATTTGGCTGTCATAAATAATTACGAACAGGTCACGGATATCAGAAAACTATAGGTCTAGACTATTGTATATATAACTTATAATCTTGCTTGAATGTATCTGATGCAGTGTCAACACATCTTTTTTGTGAAGTTTTTAATTCCTATCTGAAACTTTCTGATGTCTGTCATAATGAATTGAGATGCATTCATGAGACATAACTTAAACACATCACATCCTGTGACTCTCAGATTTTATATACTCTAATGATTTGCTTCAAGGTTGCCAAAGATGAAGTAAAGTCACAAGTATTTTTATTTCTAGTTAAATTTGACACAGTAAAATAAATGTGTTAGACATCAAAGGACATATAGGGATGTAGTGAAAAGGGTAAAGAGGGGTGCTACACGTCGAAAGTCATATAGTATTCCAGGATAGTATGGCACTGAAAGGGGCAAAGAGGTGTGAGGGTATAAAAGGAAATGCGGGATTTTGCAAGGCTGTCCATAGGGTAAAGTAAAGATTAGCAGGAGAAAGGAGTTTAAGGGCAATCAGATCACACAGCTGCAGAAGAAATATCAGGAGAGAGAGAAAATCTAGAGAAGGGGGTTGCTGTGACAAAGAGTCACATGAAGGAAGGGGGGATGATGCAGATGTAGAAGGGGGGAATGAGATGTGTTGGGAAAAGAGCAGGAGGAAGGGGTGTCGTAGGAACATGAATAGGAGGAGGATGGATCAGCGGCTACTTTGAGTGTAGAGGGAATGGGAACAGAGAGACTGGAGGTTGGGTGAGGTGTAGGCATGTTATCCTGGGTCATGATTAGACAGTTTTTAATGTCTCAGTTTCTTAAGTGGATTTGGTTAGGGAGGTCAGAGAAACAAAGGTTTTCTTGTGAGGGGGAGAAAAGGAGATAGTTATCCGTGGAGTAGAGGAAGAGGTAGGTAGGTGGAAAGGATGTGGTACAAGATGGGAGTGAAACATTTAGACTGTCTTAATACAAGTAGTATGAGAAGGGAAAGGGGTAAGTATCAGGGCAGTGGTAGAGACTGGGGTGTCTGGATTTGGAATTGCAAATGGAAACATAAGATGGAGGAAGAAGATATATGGGAGGGGGTAGATATTCCTTGGGAGGAAGGGGGAGGTGCAGAGTGAAGGGTAGGTAAGGAGTAAGAAAAATACCTCATTGACATGCTTCCTGTTTGGCCTCACATAAAATGAAATAAGTTTGAATCTGAGAATTGCCACCTCACACTCAAACTCGTAGGTAGGGCAGCTCCTATAAAATACATTATGGGAGCCACCACAAGTGGCACATGTGCGTGACTGTGCAGAGCAGTTTGATCGACCATGGCCAGGTTGAACACATAGAGGGTATTGGGCTGTAGAGCACCAGTGTTTGGCAGGGTGGCCTAGACACCAACAATACTGATACTGACATTGTCATTGATATGGTCAGACCAAGAGAGAGTCTCCACCAATGTAAACATTAAATGGGAGGTCATGTCTACAGAAAGTAATCTTGACAATATTGATGGAGTATTTACGTCTGCCCTTGTGGGGCATGATGTAGCACTGTACTGATATGGCATCACAGTCTACGAGGCAGGTAAGTAAGTCTTCTCCACATTTTGCCCAATCCTTGTCATAGACAGGGAAGTTTGTTGGGGAGATGAAGCCAGTTCTAGTACAAGTATTGAGGAAGGGATGAGGCCGGGCAGGAGTGGGTTTGCCAGTCCGGGTTGATAATGCTTTGGCTTGTGATTCAGATATAACTGTGACAAGGCAGGAATGATTGGGGTGGCTGTGGAAGGAAAGTTGTCAGAGTAAGGGGCTGTTGGGGGTCACAAGAAAATTATCCCATTTGGCTGAGCTAAACAGAGTACTCAAAAGCTTTGTAGAGGTGGGGGTAGTAGAAGGATGAGGTCTTGTAGAAGAGGGAGTGGTGTTGCATGAAGTAGTACGGCAGATAGTAGGAAATGAGGAGGGAGATAGTAGTAGGGTTCAGAGATGTGATTAAAGAAGAGCCTAAGGTAAGGGAGCTGGCAAAATTAAAATCAGTGGGGCTAGTTGATAAAGGGGCAAGCCTCATTGTCCCTAACAAAGGTAAAAAATCTTCATTACTGGCCAGGGTAAGCCTGGAGTATGTTGGGTAAGAAATGATCCACCTCTCAGGGTCCCCTAAAGGGTAAGGGCTAGACAACTAAAAAGGGGAATACCATGCCCATGCCTCTCCTAGGCCATACTTAACTGGCACAAAGTCAGCCATTCATCCTTTCAACACAGCTCTTACATCTTAGGAAGTGGATAGCAGAAGGGTTGGAGAATGGAAGGATAATGAGAGAAGAGAAGACTGTGCAAAAGCAACAACAGGAATGGGATTGGAAGAGAGTGAGTTGCATGTAGGCTATATGTAAACGACTCTTATAATCCTCATGAAAAATAGAAAGGCTTTTACTACCCTTTTATGCTTATTACAATGATATTTTATGGATAAGACAAGTCTTATAGAGCTCTAATTACTTAAGGAGAAAAACACTGTGTATGATGGTCACATATGCAAAATGTGAAATGTTGTGTGTGAGGGAAACGTTTCCATCAGGCAGCACCTCATTTCACCCAGCTTCCTTGTGCCAAATACAACGCTAAGCTTAACAGGTCCCAATGCAATTCTGAACAAGTTAGGGCAACTTTGGTCTGTTTTCTCTTTGGTTTTTACTCATATATGAAGTTTACAGCCAAGAAAAAAGTTTAAATTGGTCAAGCAGGACAGGCAATACAGCAATGAGTGGGTTAAGAATATCGTAAGAACACTATATTGCAAATATATTCTCCTGAATTAAAAGGACAAACATTTTTTTTTAGCATTCTGAGCTTGATTCTGATGTGAAAGATGAATACAATCTTTTATTTATTTACTTTACTTTCACTTGTAGTTTATCATAAATTGGTCTTGGTTAGCCTGCTGTGGTTTGTTTTTCCACCAGTAACTTCCACTTTTCCTTATGAGAGTATGCCATTTTCCCAAACATGTAGCAACATGCCTCAGGAGAGTTCTGTTCAATAACCTACAACATACAGGTACCTCTAGTGTGAAAAAGTGGCATTTCAATATGGTTTGTGTAAGAAATGTTTTGGATTCAGTTTCTACTTCATCCAGAATGCCAATCATCCCCTCCATTACTTCTACCATGTAAATTGATACTCTGTTTAGTCTAAGAACATTGTGCCATTTTCCAGACTTTTTGCCAGGGTAATGGGGAACTCTAAAATGTTCTATTTACCTATTTTTGGGCCTTTTTCCCCCCCAAAAAAAAATATATCCAGAAAATATGCCCTAAAACATGAGATGAAGGAACCTTATGAGATTTGAAAATCAATTATTATTATTGTTATTATCATTAATATTATTATTATCATTTTACATTACTTTATCCTTTGCAGGACAGGCTTACAACTAATGGCTTTGCTATTAGTTGTAATGTCACTCTGCAGGGAGGAAAGATTTGGCTTGGCAATCTTCTACCACCAGCAGTTTATTTTTCTTTTGATGCCTACATGGACTGATATCCAACACTTGACATATTTGCCAATTGTCCGGGGCCGCATATAAACATGGCAGAATTATCCACATTCAGACAACTGATGCATATGTTCTCATGCCATATATGCACTGATACCTTCTTGGTTTGCGGCTCTGACATAGACATGTCAGAGATAGCCTTAGTGCTACTTTACAGCCAAAATTCTAGCTACCAAGCCTTAAAGTCTACATGATGGTCAAGCCTTACTCTGTTACTGGACTAAGATGATAGCAGCATATACAGGAACAGTGTTCACTGTAACAAATTTAGAAAAGTATGAATGAAAATTAAATATCTTTACCATGCAAGAGATACATCTGAACAGTTTCCATTATATATTTCATATATTTCTGGTGAAGATATAATCAAAACTGGTCAAACACCTCTCTTGCACTGTGAAGATATTAATTCTCGTTCATACCTTTTTTAACTGATTGACAGCGAGATGACATCTTATCATGGTAGACCACCTCTCATGCTGTGATAGTGTCTTCCCATTATATGGAGTCAAGCCTGCTCTGAGTTATGCAGGCTGAATGTTTTAGCATGCACTGGGGACTCGTCATCATCGGGTTAGGCTTATGTATGTCCCTGGGAAAACCCATTCCTTTTTTAAATCCTTATGTTTGATGTACAAAGACTTGGAAGTATCTATACCATAATATACCTGTCACTATTTTATTTTATGAGCAACTGACACAGGTCTGCATTATTCAACAAGAGCAGCAACAAACCTTGAACTTATATCAATTGTAAGCTAGTTTGTACAATGCAGCCACATTTATATTAATTATCAGAAGCATTTTTTCTATGTTAGATAAATCATATCTTTTGGAGGTGAATGGTATCCATATATCCTCTTGGGTTATCTGAGTAACCTCAGAAAAAGAAAGTAAAAGAACTGTATTGTCTCCTGTGATGGCTGTAGCTTACTCATCTAATGCTGATAATCGACTGAATCCTTATATAATCATTCATTAGTTTCATGTGGTCATTAATAAGAAACAAATTATGCAGAATGAACAGTCTAAAACTGGCAAAAAAATATATATACACAATACCCCCTGCATCATAGGAGGGAATACAATGGTCTGCAATTTGGTAAAACACATACTGGTATTATTTGGAAAAAGGTCTTGAATTTAATTTACACTCTGTTCATTTGAGTTTATGTTGTAATGGACCTGCTGAGTTTTCTAAGCAGTTTTTACTGTCATTTTTACAGCTGCTTGGAGTGATCCATGATTTTCCGTAACTTGGCTGTTACACATCCAATACTTTCTTCAAGACTGGATAATTCTCATTATTTCTTTCAGTGTCACCTAGACCTGATTATGTACACTAGAGTCCATTTCAATAAATATGGTATGCTACACTCTGTGTACAAGACCGAATGTAGTTTTATTGAGGCTGTGACCACCACAGCTTCAGTACTTTCATTTGTGTGTCAAAATTCAAGACAGTCTCACTGGCAGAGCAACAAAAGACCATGTGTGTAGTTGACAAATATTTATAGGTATTTGGCTAGCGGTTGTGCCATAAGTAAAGGACGAACAGAGGCATCTCATGCTGTCAGATGTACATCATCTCTATCTTCAAGTTCAGCACTTATTAGGGGAAGTTTCACAAAGTGGGGAAACAATGGACTGCGTATTTTATGTTTTGGCACTTATCTTCTTGTATCATATACACATAACTATTAAAAAAAATCTCTGTCAAGCAACAATATGGTCTGTTCACTTTGTTGTAAAACTATAATTTTATCAAAGGTTGTGTGCAACCTCTCCTGCATATAACTGCAAGGGTTTTGGTTGGTTCTATCTTCTTTTCTAGACATTCATGGTATTCTTTTTGCTTAGTAAGACTACTTTATGTCAGCCCTTTTCACATCTGTAGCATGGATGACATCATCAGACTGAATCTGTACATGTTATACACTAAACTATACTGTACATAACATAGATGCACAGCTAATAAGTTCCACACTCTAGCCAGGGTGTAGTGATATGGCATCTTCTTTACACTATTAAAACAATTTATAAACAGATGACCACTAAGCAGCAAATACTGAATATCAAATACCACCCTAGAGGTATATAACCAAGTTCTTTTCAAATTACTGCATAATGTCAGTGCCAAAATCACCAATACCAAATTCTCAAGCCATGGACGGTATATAGCAACAGCAACGCAGGACAGGTCAAGTCTTTCATATTTTAGGCCAATAAAGTGAACTTACTTTTCAAGGAGTAGCTACTAGAAATACCTGCACTAAAAGTGGAGAAACATCTGAAATAAGAGTACTGACATGTACTGCTAGAAAATATCTGAAATAAGAATACTGACGTGTACTGCCATTGTACCAGTAAACAAAGAGAGGGACAATTACCAAAAAACCTGCAAATGATGTGACAAATCCTTCTTTGGTAAGTTCCCACATTCCTCCAAATTCTTCTTCATCAACACCTTGGAAACTTGATGCATAGAAGTAAACTAGGGCAGCATTAATCAAGCAAAACCTGAAATAAATAATTGGGTAAAATCATTAATATATTAATAACTTCGTTGCATGACCAATCTCTTACTGACCCAGGTAGTATCGCATGTGCCTAATACTGGCGATTTTAATTCAAGGTAAAACATATATTCAAATTATCCAATTTTCAAAATTCTCCAAAAGAAACAAGGAATGCACATATTTCTAAAAGGGCAGTCACTAAATATACTGCAATCACGAACAATTTAATGAGAAACATAGCTTGGACAAAAAAATAAAATAAATAAAAAGTTTATAGTATATTTCTTCCATTTCTCAAGCCTCAATGAATTTTGTACACAAGTTATACTCATTATTTAATAAAAACAAGTGCATACCACCCATTTCTCTCCTTAGGCACTAACAGCACTACTCAACCACAACCTAATCACATTAAGTAATTATGATAAAAAATGAAACCTGATGCACATAAGTAGACATATCTATATGGCTTCTACAACAAAGTTGAAGGAAAAACTATATGCAAATTCACATCATATATATATATATATATATATATATATATATATATATATATATATATATATATATATATATATATATATATATATATATATATATAAACATAATATATATACATATATATATATTATCTACTCTTCTATCTATCTATATATATCTCTTTATTATTATATATCAACATACGATCATACCTATCTTAGCAATTAATTACTCATATCTATATATCTATATCCTCTCTCTATCTCCTATCTATCTATTATAACCTCCTCTCTCTACATCTCTCATAATATATATCTCTATCTCATCTACATCTCCTATCTTATCTTTTAGAACCTCTATCATAAGCTATATAAATCTATATTCTACACCTCATTTCTACATCTTTCTCTCTCTCAATTCCAACATCATATATCACCTATCCTCTCTCTTCTCTTATACACATAAACTCTCACATATATATCTATATCTTTTATAACCATACTCTATCTACATATCTATCTTATCTCGATTTATAACCTACTATTATACATATATTACATATCGATTTATAACCTCTATATCACCTATCGCTCCCTCTCTCTATATCTATATATATATATATATCTATATCATATCTTAATAGATCTGTCTCTCTGTCGTCTCTTCTGTTTCTCCTCTATCCTCTCGCATCTCTCGTTCGAGCTTCTTTTTCTCCCTTCTCTCTCGCGCTATGTATCTCTATTATTTCTACCTCTCTCTCTCTCCCTCGCGCTCTCTCTCTCTCTTCTGGTCTCTCTCGTCTGTTTCCCTCTCGCTCTCTCTCTTCTCCGTCTCTCTTCTCTCTCTCCTACTCTCTCCTCTCTCTTCTCTCCTCTTACTCTCTCTCTTCTGGTTTCTCTTCCTCTTCTCTTCTCTTCTTCTGTTCCTCTCTGCCCTCATCTATCCTCTCTCTCTCTTCCCCCTACCTCTCTATCCCCTCTATCTATCTCTACTTCTCTATCTCTCTCTCTCTCTCATCTCTATCTCCCCTCCCTCTCTTACTCTCTATCATCGTATCTCTCTCTCTCCTCTCCTCTCTCATCGCTGGTCTGCTTGTCCTCCTCTCTATATATCTCTCTCTCTCTCTCTCTCTGCCCCTCCCTCTCTCGCTCGCTCTCTTCTCCTCTCACCCTCCTCACTGTTTCTCTCTCTGTCCCTGTCTCTCTCTTCTTTTTCTCTCTCTCTGTCTGTCTATCTCCTTCTGTTCTCTCATCTCTGTCTGTCTCTCTCTTCTGTTTCTTCTGTTTCTCTCGCGCTGTCTGTCTCTCTCTTTTGATTTTCCTCTCTCTCTCTCTCTCTACTCGCTCTCCGCTCTCCTATCTCGCTATCTCTCCTCTCTCTCTCTCTCTCTCCTCTCCTTCTCCTCTCTCTCTCCTCTCTCTCTCTCTCCTCTCTCTCGCTCTCTTCTCTCCTACGTTCTCTCCTATTCTCCTCTCTCTAGCTCTCTCTCCTCTCTTCTCTCTCTCTCTCTCTCTCTCTCTCTCTCTCTCTCTCTCTCTCTCTCTCCCCCTCCCTTTTCTGTCCCCCGCCTCCCACCCCTCTCTCCCTCCCTCTCCTCTCTCTCGCTCCTCCTCTCTCTCTCTCTCCTCCTCTCTCTCTCCTCTCTCGATCTCCTCTCTCTCTCCTCCTCTCTTCTCTCTCTCCTCTCTCTCTCTCTCTCTCTCTCTCTCTCATCCTCTCTCTCTCTCTCTCTCTCTCTCCTTCTCTCCTCGCTCTCATCTCATCCCCGCCTCTCTCTCTCGTTCTTCTCTCGATTCTCTTCTCTCTCCCTCTTCTCTCTCTCTCTTCTCTCTTCTCCTCTCTCACTCTCTCTCTCCTCTCTTCTCTCTCTTTCTCATCGCTCTCTCTCTCTCTCTCTCTCTCCTCTATCTCTCTCTTCATCTCTCTCTCTCTCTCCTCTCTCCCTTCCTCTCTCTCTCTCTCTCTCTCTCTCTCTCTCTCTCGCTCCTCTCTACCTCCTCGTCTCTCTCTCTTCTCTCTCTCTCTCGATCTCTCTCTATCTCTCTCTGTCTCATCTCTCTCCTCTCTCTTCTCTTCCTCTCTTCTCTCCTCTACTCTCTCTCTCTCTGTCTCTCCTGTCTCTCTCGCTGGTGTATCTCGGTATCTCTTCTCTGTTCTCTCTTCTCTCTCCTCGCTTTGTCTCCGCTCTCTCTCTCTCTCCCCCTCCTTCCCCTTCGCTCTTCCTCTCTCTCTCTCTCTCTCTGTGTCTCTCTCTCTCTCTCTCCCTCTACTCTCTCATCTCTCACTCTCTACTCTCTCTCTCTCTCTCTGTGTCTCTCTCTCTTCCTCTACTCTACCTTCTCTCATCTCTACTCCTTCCTCCCTCTCTCTCTCGCCTCTTCCTCTCTCTCTCGCTACCAATCTCCTCTCTCTCCCTCCTCCTCTTTCTCTCTCTCTCTCCTCTCTCTCCTCTCTCTCTCTCCTCTCGCTCTACTCTTGTCCTCTCTCTCTATCTCTTCCTCTCTCTCTCATCTCTCGCTGTCTCTCTCTCTCTCTCTCTCTCTCTCTCTATCTCTCTCGCTGTCTCTCTCCGCTCTTCTCTCTCTGTCGCTCTCTCTTCTTCTCTCTCTCTCTCTCTCTCTTCCTTCGGTCTCTGTGTCTCTCTCATCTCCTATGATAGCAGTCTCTGTCTCTCTGTGTCTCGCGCTCTCTCTGTTCTCTTCGGTCTCTTCCCCTTTTTTCCACTCGGTCTCTCCTGTCTCTCTCTCTGTCATCTCTTCTCTCTCCTCTCTCTATCCTCTCTCGCTCTCTCTCTTCATGTCTCTCTCTGTCCTCCCTCTCTGCCTGTCGATCCACTGTGTATCTCTCTCTCTCTCCTCTGTGTCTCTCTTGTCCTCCCCCCCCCCTTGTCTTCTCTTTGTCTCTCTCCGTCTCTCTCTGTCTCTCTATGTTTTTTCTCTCTGCTCTCTCTCTCTCTCGCCTCTCTCTATCTCTCTCTCTCTCTCTCTCTATCTCTCTCTCGCTCCTCTCCTCTCTCTATCTCTCTCTCTCTCTCTCTCTCTCTCTCTCTCTCTCTCTCTCTATCGCTCTCTCTCTCTCTCTCTCGCTCTCTCTCTCTATCTCTCTTCTCTCTCTCTCTATCTCTCTCTACTCTCTCTCTCTCTTCTATCTCTCTATCTCTCCTCTCTCTCTCTCTCTCTCTCTCTCTCCTCTCTCTCTCTCTCTCTGCCTCTCTCTCTGCTCTCTCTGTCTCTCTCTCTCTCTCTCATATCTCTCTCTCTTCTCTCTCTCCTCTCTCTATCTCTCTCTCTCTCTCTCTCATCTTCTCTCTCTGTCTCATCTCTTCTCTCTCTCTCTCTCTCTCTCTCTCTCTCTCTCTCTCTCTCTCGCTCTCGCTGTCTACCTCGTCGTCTCTCTCTCTCTCGCTCCTCTCCTTGCGCTCTCGCTCTCCTCTCTCTCTCTCTCTGTCTCTCTCTCTGTGCTGTCTCTCTCTCTCTCCCTCCTCTCTTCTCTTCTCTCCTCTCCTCTCTCTCTGTCTCTCATCCGTCGCTCCTGTCTCTCTTGCTCCTCTCTCTCTCTCTCTCCTCTCTCTCCTCTCTCCTACTCTCTCTCTCTCTCTCTCTGTCTCTCTCTCCGGCTCTCCTCTCTCTCTGTCTTCTCTCCTGTCTCTCTCCTTGTCTCTCTCTCTCTCTCGCTCTCCCTATCTCCTTTTCTCTCTCTCTCTCTCTCCTCTCGCTCCTCTCTCTCTCTCTCCCTCGTCTCTGTCTCTCTTCTGTCTCTTGGCTCCTCTCTCTCTCTGTTCTCCTGTCTCCTCTCTCTGTATCGCTTCTCTGTCTCTCTCTGTCTCAGTCTCTCTCTCTCTCTGTCTCTGTCGCCTGTCTCTGGCTCTCTCTCTCGCCTACTTCGCTCTCTCTCCTCGCTCTCTCTCTATCTCTCTCTCATCTCTCCTCCTCCCCTCTCCCTCCTCCCAGCTCCCCTCCCTCTCCCTCTCCCTCTCCCTCTCTCCGCGCTCTCTCCCTCTCCCTCTCTCCTCTCTCCTCTCTCCCTCTCCCTCTTCTCTCTCCCTCTTCATCTCTCTTCCTCTCTTGTCTCTCTCTCTCTCTCTCGCTCTACTATCTCTCTCTGTCTGTCATCTGTTCTCATGTCTCTGTCTCATTTCTCTGTCTCTCGTCCTCTGTCTCCTCTGTCTTCTGTCCTCTTCTCTGTCTCTCTGGTCTCTCTTGCTCTCTGTCTCTCTTCCTCTCTGTCTCCTGTCTCGCCTCTGTCTCTCTGTCCTCTCTCCCCTTGTGCGTTCTGCCGTGTCACGTCCTTTGCTCTGCCCCCCGTGCGTCCTTGTTTTGCTTGTTTTTCCGCCTCGCTGGCCACCCCTTGGTCACCTCCCTCCCCCCTGGCCCGTTCCGCGCCCCGCCCGTCCGCGCCCGTTTCTCCGTTTCTTTGCAACCACACCTTTCCGCCCTCGTTACGTCCTCTTCTTTGCCGTTCCTCCTGTTCCGCCCGATTCCCCCCCCCCACCCACCCCCCCCCCCCCACCACCCCACCAAACCACCCCCCCCCACCCCCCAAAACCACTTCTCATGTTTATGTTTCCCATCCCCTCCTCGTTTCCCCTCGCCCTCGTGAACACTAACGTTTTTTTTTCCGCCCTTCCAAG